ATGGGTCTTTAACTGTAATTTTTGCCCTTTCATATATTTTGCCAAAAGCGGGAACAGTTAAGACGAAGGAGACGGTTTTTATTTGAAAAAACAAGGAGTTACATAACTGATCAAAAAAGGGATCAGTTTGTGGGGTTGTGCATTGCGTTTTTTCCTCCTCCATCAAACTCTCCTCTCCGTCTCTCCAAACTCTCCCTTTGGTGCATTTGCTGTGTCTCCCAGATCCGACTCCGTCACCGTGATCGGACCTCCGCGTGGCAACCTGACTTCATTGCAAACTCCAGGTATGCCCGAAATCCTTCACTTATTATGCCCTTCATTTCAAACTTAACTTAGTAACTTGAATTCTGAAAATAATTGGACATCATATTCAAATAATTATTCCCTAATTTCGTTTTTATAAAAAACACTTAACCAAATTATGTTGTTTGAAATATTGGTTAAATTAGTTCGAGATAATAAATATGTAAAAAAATCTAACTTTTTTTTTTGGCCAAAATATCCTCATTCATGTCAAAGAGAGAGAATGTGTGGTGGAAGGATAATAATGTGTGAAAATTAAGTACAATGATATGAATAATATATATGAGTAATTAAATACAGGTAAAATGAAAATTTATCAAACAAAATTTAAACAACTTCTAAATATCTCGTATAAAAAAACATGTCATATTTTCACAATTGTCTCTTACAAAAAGAAATAGAGTAATTAAGTAGATTTGTTTTTGTTTGAGCCTTTTTCATGAATAAAAATTACATTTTTAAGAAAAAAAGAATTTTGAGAAATTTTATGATATCGTTTAAACTTTTAAGAATATAAGAATTTGAAAAATAAGATAAAGGCATATTTCTGATTATTTTGATAAGTTATTTCGAGTGGTTTTTTAAAATAATTAGATGTGTTAGGCGAGAAAGAATGTTCAAAAAAATATAAAAGTCCGTGAAAATATTATAAAATTTGAAAATATACAAATAAAAAAATCAGTTTTCATAAACGGTGAATTGGTAATAGAGGAGATATTATAGAATAGGATAAATTAACAATTTTTGTCTCCATAGTTTATTTGACTTAACTAAAAAAATTCAATCCCTAAATTTTAACTTAAAGTAACTTAATCCCTGTGGTTTTTATTTGAAAACTCGTTAACTTAGTGCAACACAACCTTCATGGTTTTAACTTTTAAAATGTCGATCTTTATATTTTCAAAAATAAAACTATAAAAACTAGAGTTTTTTTATTGCTCAATAGGGGACTAATGTTTTACATACGTAAAACTATAGAAACTCAGTGACATTGAGTTAAAATTCAAAGATTGAGTTTGAACTAAGTTAAAATTATAAAGATTGTGTTGCATCAAGTTAATGTTTAAGGACAAGATTAGAACCAAATCAAAATTATAGAGATCAAATGGTTAATTTTTCCTATAAAATTTGAAAATCGCTCATGTTTTAAACTTAAATAAACAACACCCAATATTTCAGTCCAAAAAAAACAAACACCCAATATTGTCCAAAGTGAGAGGCTAATTATATACTCATTACTTGCCTTACTCACCATCTCTAAGACTCTGTTTGGTATGAGGGATTTGAAGGGGAAGAGAGGGAAGATGAAGGATTTTAATCATTTTTTCTTGTTTGACAACACATAAATTTTAGGAGGGCCTCCCCTCCTCAACCTCCTCTCTAAAATTAGGAGGATTTGGAGGAAAAGGGTAATATTTTGCCATGTTGTGACCATTATGCCCATATTTTGTCATGTGATGACTATTATGCCCATATCTTAAATAAAATAAGGGCAAAATTATCCATATTAAAATATTTTTCCCTCCCCTCTCCTCATGAATTAAGCTAGGTAATATTAAAACTCCTAGCCTCCCCTCTCTTTTTATAAATCCAAATAAGGTAATATTAAAATCCTTTCACTCTTCTCCTCTCCCCTTCCCTCCATTAAAATCCCTTCCTTCCCTTTCCCTTCTCTTTCCATGAGATTTGCAATAACTTTCAAATCTGTTAACAGAATTTAGCGGAACAAATTGATTTCAGGAACAAGCTCTAAGGCTCTGCAATTCAAGAAATTTCCCATGTCTCTTTCAAATTATGCAGAATATGCCTCTGCAACTTCCTCATCTTCACATGTAAAGTAAATTCTGCCTTTAATATAAGCACCAAAGTTCTTGTCAATTATGTCTTTAAGTACCCTTGAGAGCCAATAATGAAGATCAAAAGATGAGTTGAAGAAATGAATGATTGATTTGAGAAACAATCTGCCATGAAATGAACCACCTGATGTTACAGTTGCGCGGTATTACTTGTCCTCATCTGTAAGAGACTTGAAAAGTGTGTTGCAATAACTATTACCAATATGATCATTGAAGAACACTTGAAATTCACGGGGCTTTGAGCTATGTCTTAATTTGAACTTTTTTAGTCGTCTTAAGTTAAATAAAAAATAAGACCAAATTATATAATAAAACACAATTTGAGTCGTATCTCTTGAAGAGTCATTTATTAATTTTGAAGTTAACCAAGTGACAAAATCATTAAAAAAAAAAAAAAGGTTTGAGAATAGATTTTTCTTTTATAAAACTGATTAAGAAAATAAAGAAATAAATCTAAAGTATTTTTTGTGGTATTTTTAATAAAAAGAGATAATAAAGAATGCAAATTTGGATTTTAGAGAATCAATTATGAGACTGCTTCTTGAAAACGGAATATAGCTATCATTACTTTATAAAAACACAAGAGTAAAAAAATGCATCAAGTTAAAAAGCAATTCCAAACACGATTTAGGTCAAATAAACTTAACACTCGAATATTCCAAACGTAAGATAATAATCAAATTATTAAGACACCTTTAAAAATTACTTGATGTGCATGAGTTAATAAAACATGTTTTCCTCTCAAAGAATGCTTATAGAGACACTCAATTGCAATACATCTTAATCATAAAATCTAACAACACCCTAGATAAAACAATCTTAATGAATGCAAAGGAATTATAAATAAATTTAAATCCCAAATAATACAACTCAAATTAAATTACAAAAATCTAGTTAACAGAAATTATAATACATAATCTTAGTCTCTAAATCATAAAAAAAAATTCCTAACATATAAAAAATCCAATGAAGTCTAAGAGAAAATTAATTGGAAAACCAAATTCTCTCCTAGTTAAAACTCTAAACTCAAGCTACTCCTCCAACTCCAAGACACACGGTGGGACTAGCCTCTCATGACTCTAGCAACATCTACAACACGTCTGAAGTAGCGAGAATCCATGGAGGCCGTGAAGGAAAGATGGACGTGGAAAGTTGTTGCTCATCGCTGGATAAGTATGAAAATTGAATGAATAGTGGCGGCGAGTGTGTAGCGTGTAGTCATGAGATGAATATGCGAGGTTCTGCGAATTAAATAGCGATTTATCAGTCCTCGAGACTCTAGTTCAAGTTTCACAACGTCCAGGATGTTATGAACAGTGAAAAATGTGTTACTAGGTCCAACTGAACAACCCAAATCTGCTATGCTAAAAACATTGGAGGAATGCCGCAGAAGTATTCGTAGATCAAGCTCCTCGAAAATGGCTTTGACAGTACTTTTTATTATATCTGCTTTCTTACGCTGCCCAACAAGGTTTGAACGTGATTCACCTCAAACTTTAATGAACTAATTAAAGAGTTGGATTAAGAATGAGGAACCTGAATGGAGGAATTTTGAGCATACCACTCTATTTCTTATTATAAGTCACTTGTACTCTAAAAGTTTGTTTCAAAATATAAGTCACTTGTAATATAATTAATGATCCTTTTCCAATTTTACCCCTGTTAATTTAATAAAAAATTAATTAATTTAAGTTTGAAATAATAGCTTCTCGAAATATCTCCCTTTCCCTCTCAATCTCTTTTTCTCTCAACTTTTCATTTTCTATGCAATCTATCTCTTCCCTCTCTCTCCCCCTCAACTTTTGATAAAAGTAAATATAAAAAAAAATTAGTTAATATATTTCTTGATTTGTGAGTTTAGAATACAAGTGACTTATAATAAGAAACAGAATGGTATTCATATTCCTCCTCACCAACAGTGATTTACTCAGCTTTATAGGATTTGGTGCAACTTTTGCTCTCCGTCTTTGTGCTCTGTGTTTCTGTAAGCGTTTGTAATAAAGACGCACATGTGCGCACCATGTTTAAATAGTATTCCAAACAATTGAGGAGTTTTCTTTGTACGTCCAAATATAAAATCTTAAAATAGTCCCTGAAATTTATAATTTTTTCTTAAACTATTCTTTTGATAGTGCATATACAGAAGGGTTTTCATCCATGAGAGTTGTTTTCAATATAAATGATAAAAGGGATATCTTGGAAAAACTAATACATTTTTTAATAGTCTTTCAGTCTTTAATATAAGACATAATTAACTAATTTAAGTAGATTAACGATGTTAGTTATATTAGTTAATATCATATGTTTTTTTTTTAAATATCCTAACTATTTTTCTTAATTCCCTCCCTCCCTTCCCTGCTTAATTATTATTAAGGGAATATCAATAGAGTTAATTTAAAAAAAAATTGATAACCATGTGAAATAAATCTTAAATATAAGATTAACATCAACTCTCTAATTAGCTCCTATATTAAGAACCGGATAAGTAAATAACTATCTTGACTTATTCTCTTAATCTTTGTAAATTACTGATTTAACTCCCCTGTTTAGGACAGGAGAGGGCATAACCCAAGGAATTGGAACATCACTTTTCACCAATTCCATACATATATGAACAAACTAATGCTGTAAGAAAATTAATATATTAATAGTATAGACTCTACCTTAACATTACATGCTTCTTTCTTGTCCTGTCTTCATCTCCAAGCAAATATTTCATAAGCCGGGATAAATTTATCAGTTCATGAAGAATTCATGTCATTGTAACTTCAAGCAGACTTTGAATTTTATTGTCTCCATTTTCACGGAAGAAAAAAAGTTAGCCGGAGAAGGCATAAAACAGATCATAAATTCAGACACATATAACCAAGTTAAATCTGATGCACACATCATCAAACGATAGATAGATACAAGCACAAACTACATCAGCCAGCGTGAACAAAAAAAATACTAAAGAAAATTCCATTGTTTGGTACTAAAAAGAGTATCACAGAAAGTGATCTTATGCAATGTTTAACCAAATGAAATGGCTTTATCTCATTTAGCAGAATGATTAATCATCGTTGTTGAGCAAGAATCACTTTGCACACAATGCCATAGCTGAGGCCTCTCCAATAATCAAAATTCTCTGCAAGACCCCAAAAGGTATTTTGAAGATTTCATCAAAACTCATTGTATCAGTCATCATAAGAGGAGTGTGGAGCGGCTGTGCAACCAGGGTCAAATGGATCTTCAGAGCCACAGCAGTGCCAGTACTGAAAAACCTTACCAGAATCAGGAGTATCCATGGTGCCACCTTTATACACACTCTCAAACTTCCTCTTAGTTTCTCCTGAGGGAAAGAGGGGACCAGAAGATAAGTAAATCAAAGACAACTTACACCAGGACCAGGAAGTAATTTAAAAGAACAATAAATTAAGCGCACAGATTTTCATCAGTAAGAATCGGAAGAGACTCGCCAGAAGGCACATATTTTGTCAAGGAAAGGACTAAAAAAGATCTGCTTGTTTCAGTTTCAGAGTCACTGGCCAAACCCTTCACCACAATGGTAATATGGCTAGTGTTCCATCTAAAATCCCAACTATCTAAAATATCGTTTTTCAAATCCATTTTATGAGTTGCATTTACTGATGCATGAGTCTGATAAATGAACCTTCAAGCTTTGTTAGCAGACATAGATGTATGTTGTTGACCTACAGCATGTTCTTTGTATATCCTAGTTCTTCATTCTCCCATCCTATAGCATCAAGTTTAAATTAGTTCTATATCAAATGTATACAACCACATAGATGTCCTTGACAACACGATAGCAACTATAAGATAATCATATTCACAAGTTGCCTCGTGATTTTACCCAATATGAACACTTCTAGCTGTGATCAGGTATCAGTATCATTTACCTGAAGTCATGTGAGGAAGTTATTTTTAGCTTATCGAGGTCAATTATTCTTTGGCATTATCGGCCATTTCATGCCTGCATTTATTGAACATATCTGAAGTTGTTGGGACGAGAAGGACCCCACTTCTATACCCTATGAAGCATAGACAGTTACACAGACTTGACACAGCATGGAGATCACCATGATGTCAAACTTTAAAAATATATATATATAGAACATGACACAACAAGCATGTGTGTGTGTGTGTGTGAACTCTGTTGGTAATACACTTCTAGAGAAAAACAAAACGGGCTTATACTATATTCTAGCTATCTTGCACTATTCTTTTCTATAAAAAGAAAAAAAAAACTACCAAATCAAAATCAGAAATATACGTTGTTGAATTTATTCATGCACAGCATCAGGAAAGAATTTATTCTTGGGCTCGACTACGTCTGACTCAAGACTTAGCCATATTGGCATGTATCCAGGCCTGTTCAGCAGGTTGAAGCCGAAATAATTTTTTTCACTTAGGCACACACCACATCTGAAAATAGGTGTGTCTGAGATTAACGATTCATATCAAATGTGAGCTTCTGAATTCATGGCCAGATTAAACCTTACAAGGAGAAATAGAAACAGTGCACACAACAGCCTAAAAATATTATTTCACGATTGAAATGGTCGGTTTGGTGGTAAATTACTACTGTACTCTTTTCGTTTTAACTACGAAAGACTGCAGTTCATTACATTGAAATGTTTGAAGTATCCCGTTATTATCTGAAATGAGTACCAATCACACATTGGAAAGATGAGATCTTTTTTTTTTTTTTCCAAGTATCATGACTACAAAGGAAATTTTCGAAATATGGGTTAAGGTGTAAATCTGTTTCGGAAGTTTTTACTCAGGAGTGCTGGACATGCAGAAGTTTAAATTCGTAGCAATATTACCTCTTAACATTAAAAATAATAATAATAATAATATTGATCATTAAAATAGTTACATTGACTATTCACATTTTTAACAGTAGGAACGAAATTACTGGTTGTTAAACTTCCATGACAAGTTTATTCCAAAAAAAACCTAATTTCCGAAGTAAATTTTCACCTTGACCCTTGAAATATTGGTACAAGTAATAGAAGCCCTGACCGCATTCAAGGAAACTTTTGAATATAGTTTCTTACGGATAAGAAATGAGTAAAATTAAAAGGGCAACAAATCATCCAATTATTCCAATGGCATATAAATCCCTCAGAACGCAAACCAATTTTTATAGTGTACTGCCAATGTTGTCCATAATAGTCATAATAGGAGGAAGAAGAAAAACAAAAACTGAAGCGAATTCAGATTACCTCCGAAATGGGCAGTGTGAAACCGACAAGCACGAGGGTGATTGAGTGCAGGGTCGTATTGACTTTTGCAATTCTTGCAAGTTCTGAGAGAACTGCTGGACTTTTTGTCGAAGCTTGAAGAGCATCGAATGTAAGGGAATTTCAGCAAGTCAATGTTGGCCTTCGATAAAGATGTGTTTTTGAACAATTGCGGAGCAAGAGGTTGTTTCAGATGATGCAGAGAAGGGTGAGAGATCGATTGGGAGAAAGAAAGAGCCATCGGCTTGAAAATTTTGTTCAACGAATCCAAAGTGGAATAACGAGTCGCGCGAGCTGCTTCTATATTTTGCATCTTGCTTCATGTTTACCTGACTCGTCAAGTTCAGCTGTGGATAGAGGGAAAAGGGAAATTGCATTTACCCTGATGAAAACACACATTTGTCTGGTTTCAAAAATAGAATAAATCATGAAATATCGGCACTTTGGGCAGCGTTGGATCAGGATTTGGCTGAGGCTTCGTCCCGAATCATGATTAAAGAAAATTTATCTCACATATTTCGTAATAAATCATTATGCAAAAAAAAATTACTACCTCTTATACTTAATCTAAAAACTAGTTGATTTATTTGAGTATATTAAATAAAATAGTTCAATTAATTATTTGTAATAAATAAGTATAAATACCCTTGCTAATCATGTTCTCTTCTGGTCTTATTTACATGGTAGAAAGAAAAAACATTTTTTAGTCCTATTTATAGGGCATTGAGAGAAATTTTTTTATGGATGTACAATTTTACCCTTTGATTATTATTGTGTTAACTTTGTTTACATGAAGTATAATATATATTAAATAGGAATAAAGTTGAAAAGTTGTTAAATTTTAAATGAGAGTTAATGAAGTTTAAGATTTTTCTGTCTATGTGAAACACGTTGAAAGTGAATTATAAATAAGACGAAAAGAGTATATTAGAAAAAACTATCATTTGTTGAAAAACTTAATATATACAACTATTACAAGACTATCTTAAAAAAAAAATGAATAAATATGATAGACAAAGTGAATTGGGATATTATATTTAAGATTAAATTAAATGATTAGTTCTTATATGAGGTACTATTAAAGCAAATATGAAAAATTATACTACCTTCAGTTCTTAATATAAGACCTTGTTTGAGTTTTATTTTGATCCTAAATATAAAACCCCAATCCATTTTGTTTTTCATATTTATATATTCCTTTTTAAGATAGTCCTTTTAATAATGGTAGTTCTAACCAATACAACTAGTAAGGATACTTTAGGAATGACAACGCCTATTTATGATAAATAACCAACTTAACTTATTTTTTTAATATACTCAAATTAGTCAACTAACTCTTATATTTAAGACCAGAGCCCAGAGGTAGTATAAGCTAGTTGGGAAGTTATTTTGCTGTTAACTTCTAACTTTGTGGGCTTTAATATCATTTTGTTTTATCTAACAAAAAGTAATTTTCATATTAATAATCAGAAGAATATATTACTGTAGTGTGCAAAAAATATACTACCACTATTTACAAGAAACAAATGAGAAAATTTTTTGTCACGCCTACATTCAATTTTTATCCTTTTTGAATCTTTCTATATTTTTTTATTTTTTTTGGTACTAAGGAGGGCTAAGGCCCGAAATGGAAAACTAGACTAGAGAGTGAGATTAAATCCCATACAATCATTAAGAAGCATAGCCCTTAAATTGACTGGGCATGAATTTAAGTAGGTGGATCTTGAAATTCCTTGCTTAGCTAATGTATCAACTAGCATATTCTGTTGTCTATCAATGTAGAGACCTTAAACCTCCCAATCGTACGCAAGGAGGGTTTGGATACAAAAGTAGGTAAGGCTGCTGGTACTCGTAAGTTGCTTGCTGTGAATCATTTGTATTAGGACAATGAGTCTGATTCTAAAATGACTTTCTTGAAGCCAAAATCCCATGATGACTGAAGACCTTTCAACATTGTTGATTCCTCTGCTTTAAAGACACTGCAACTCCCAAGAGTTCTAGTGAATCCCACAATCTATTGACCATTGTGGTCTCTAATGACTCCACCACATCCTGCCTTGTTTCTGCTTTGAGAGACAGCTCCATCAACATTCAATTTAACCCATCCAAGTGGAGGTGAATTCCACATTAAGGGAGCACATGGCGCAAGAGAAAATTGAAGGTCCTCTACATTATTATGTTGAACTAAATTCTTCCAATTTCTTAGAACAACAACAGCAGGGTAAATTGGCTTTTGGAAGTTAGCATCATGAAGAAAACAGTTTCTCCAAATAGATACCGAACAGACACACCCCATATAAGATTCTAGCTAGGACACTCATGATTGCCTAGCTCTTTTTTGAGGTTCAATGTAATCAAGTCTCATTGGAAGGCAGCATAAAATTTAGAATAATGAATCGGAGATAAAATACACATCCATAATTTTTTAGCATATGAGCAATCCCTAATAATACGCATAGTAGTTCCAACACCATCATCACGATAGGGGCAGGTGGATGGAGCTTGGGACCACTTACTTCTCCACTCATTAGTAGGTAATTGATGGGCCCAATAGGTATTGGGACAGGAAATACAAGCGAAGGACTCAGGGCCTCAAGCCCAACATTATTCAGGGTGAGCTATGTAAGGAGGGCAAAACTGGGAATGCAAACGGTAAATAGGGGGTAACGAACTTTTGACAGTGTCAGGTAGTGGGAGGCGTTTAGAGGGGGGAGGGAGTGAGTGGCGAGGTAGACAATTTTGAGCGTTAGACAGGAGAGGGGATCTGTTCTCTCGAACAACAAACCATGGAGAGTGTTCTTCTTCATTAATAGTTATTTCCAGTAATAGTCCTAGTATCTAACCCGTTTCATCATCTATTGGTGAGTGTATTCTCTCATTTTCAATCAGTAAAGAGGATACTAAGCATTGTTTATCAGTTCATTTAGTTTTGGTTTACTGGCTCTATCATCTTGGTATCAGAGCGAGCATGGCAGGGACCAGAATGGAGAGTAGGGTGGAGCAGTTGGAAAAAGTAGTCGAAGAAATGCAGCGAAAACAAGCAGAGACGACAAAGCAACTTACCGGGGTTAGCACAATGGTGAACCTTATCCATCAGCAGTTGAATGAGTTCCGTGCTGCGTTCAATGCGGCCAGCCCATTGAATAATCCAGAGAGCCCACCGAGTCAGGCATGCAATGAGGTAAGGGGAGACAGGGACGCAGGACAGGAGGGTCAGGAGAGAGCCACACGAGAGGAGATGGGACAGAGTGACATGAACAAGCACCGGAAACTCGAGTTGCCCATTTTCTCAGGGGAGGACCCGCTCGGTTGGATTTTTAGAGTGGAAAGATATTTCGTAGTGAACGGTCTAAGTGAGGCAGTAAAGCTCGATGCTGCGGTGGTAAGTTTGGAAGGCAAAGTAATTACATGGTACCAATGGCTCAAGTCATGATGTGCAATCAAGTCGTGGAAGGAATTTAAGAAGGAAGTGACAGACTGATTCCATTGTAAACAAACTAGGGACGAGTACAAGCAGCTGTTTGCCCTCAGACAAGAAGGTTCCGTAGCAGACTACTGAGAGCAATTCGAGCTGCTATCGGCACCATTAGAAGATGTACATGATGAGATTTTGATGGGCGCATTTATGAACGGATTGAAGGAAGAAATTTGCTACGATGTCAAGCTGATGCACTCGCAAACCTTAAAACAAGCTATGGACTATGCAACGCAAGTTGAAGGGAGAAACCGTGTGAGGGAGAAATTGGAAGAGAAGAAGGGCAGGACAACAAGGCTAGCAACAGGAAGCAGATGGAGTGACTTCAAACCAAACTTTCTGAAACTCACCAGTTTGGATTCATTCAAGAACATCAATTTGCCAACCCCAACCAGGGAGTCAGGAGGGAAGAAGGAAGAAGAACGAAGGCAATGACCCCTCGAGCTCCGTCGTCGGTGTCGTTGTCTGCGAGTAACAAGGGAAATGGAGCAAGCCGCAAGAGGCTATCAAAGGCCGAAATCAACAGGAGGAGGGAGTTGGGCCTATGTTTCAAATGTGAGGAAAAATATAGGGCCAACCACAAGTGTAAAAACAAAACCCTCTAACTGATAGTTCTGGATGAGGAGGAGGACAGGCTTAGAGAAGATGAGTTGGGGGCCCAGAATACCGAAAGGGGTCCAAAGGAGCGAGACTTAGTGTCCCTGGAGTTGTCGATGGCCATAGCAGTGGGGGTAACCGGGAAGCGAACATTGAAGATGAAAGGGAAGATGATGGGTAGGGAAGTGCTGGTGCTCATTGATTGCGGTACCACGCATAACTTCATCTCCCATTCCTTGGTGGCAGCGCTGGGTATCACAATAGAGAGGGTGAAGGAGTACATAGTAACAGTAGGGGACGGACGGCGAATGATATCTGACTTGAAGTGCCCAGAAGTGACCTTGGAGATACAAGGCCTGAAGATCAAACAGCCTTTCTACCCATTCAATATGAGCAATGTGGACCTCGTTTTGGGGGTTGAATGGCTGGAGTCATTGGGCGAAACGAGGATGAATTGGAAGCAACTGTACATGAAGGTCAAAATTGACCGGTGTTGGGTGTGTTTGAGGGGAGATCCGACCTGTACGCAATCCCAAGGAAGCCTCAAGTCACTTAAGCGAGACATTCTGAGGGAAGGAGTGGGATACCTTGTGGAGCTAAGGGCAGTCGCCGTAAAGGAGGATATCGAACTACCAGGAAATGACCCGGAAGTGGCCGAAATTCTCTCTAAATTTCCAGAGGTGTGTTCGCCAATTAAAGAGTTGCCCCCAAGGAGAACCTAGGACCATGCAATAGTGGTGAAAGAGGGAGCCTAGCCTACCAATACCTGACCGTACCGCTACGGACATGCCCAAAAGACGGAAATAGAGAAACTAGTCAAGGAAATGCTTTTGGCAGGAATAATTCAACCAAGCACTAGCCCTTACTCGAGCCTAGTCCTGTTAGTAAAAAACAAGGATGGGAGCTGGCGATTCTGTGTAGACTACAGGGCCCTCAACCGTATCACGGTACCCGACAAGCACCCCATACCGGCTATCGATGAGCTGTTGGATAAATTGGAGGGAGCAACGATATTCTCCAAGTTGGATTTGAAGTCCGGATACCACCAAATCCGAATCAAGGAGGGAGACGAGCCCAAGAATGCCTTCAGGACACACGATAGACACTTTGAGTTTAAGGTGATGCCTTTCAGTTTGTCAAACGCCCCCTCTACTTTTCAATCTCTCATGAATGATATCTTTAGAGAACATTTGAGAAAATTTATCCTTATATTTTTTGACAATATATTGGTGTATAGCAAGGACAAGGTAACACACTGTGATCATTTAAGGGAAGCCCTGAGGCTTTTACAGCAACACAAGTTGGTGATAAATCCCAAGAAGTGTGTCCTGGGGCAGCGACAAATAGAGTACTTGGGACACCTGATCTCGGCTGAAGGAGTGAAGGCTGACCCTGTAAAAAATTTTACTATGATTAAGTGGCTGAAACCTACCAACTTGAAAGCCTTGAGGGGGTTTCTTAGGCTGACCGGATATTACCAGAAGTTTGTGAAAGGGTACAGGAAAATAGCAGCACCTTTGACACAGCTACTCAAAAAAGATTCCTTTAAATGGGATGAATCAGCACAAAGGGCATTCGAGGAACTAAAGGTTGCCATGACCACCATACTGGTCTTAGCCATTCTAGACTTTAGCTTGCCATTTGAAGTAGAAGCATATGCCTCCGGCAAGGGGGTAGGGGCTGTGCTCATGCAAAATGGGTGACCCATTGCATATTTCAGTCAAAAGTTATCTGAGAGACACCAGCTCTGTTCTGTCTATGAGCGTGAACTGATAGCAATTGTATTAGCAATCAAAAAGTGGCAGCACTACCTGTCTAGCCAACCGTTTGTCATCAAAACAGATCAGAAGGCACTCAAATATCTCCTTGAACAACGAATAATAGCCCCTGACCAGAAGAAGTGGGTCTCGAAATTAATGGGCTAAAAATTTGAGATCCAATATAAACCTGGGAAAGAGAACCGTGCTGCTGATGCCCTCTCGAGGCAAGAAGAGGCTGTAGAGTTACGGGCTGTATCCATGTGGCAGTATGAAGGGATGGAGGATCTGGAAGATGAGGTAGCAAAGGATGAATTCTTGAAGGGAGTGATGCAGCAACTGATACAGTGGAAGGAAGGGCCGAAGGGGTACTCTATGAAGAAGGGGATGCTATTCTTTGAAGGGAGACTAGTTTTACCCAAGAATTCTCTCAAAACCAAAGAACTCTTGAGAGAATTCCATGACACATTAATAGGAGGACACTTCGGTTACCTACAGACTTATAAAAGACTATTAGCGATGGTCCATTAGAAGGGGATGAAAAAAGACGTATCGGACTATGTGGCTCAGTGTGATGTTTGCCAAAGGAACAAGTATGCAGCCTTGAGCCCAGCGAGACTGCTTCAGCCACTACCCATACCAAAGGCATCATGGGAGGACATTAGCATGGATTTCATAAGGGGCCTACCAAAGAGCAACCGATTTGATACTATACTGGTAGTGGTCGACAGAATCACCAAGTTTGTTCACTTTATTCCACTGTCACACCCATATGATGCTAAGGAGGTGGCGGAGGTCTTCTCTAAAGAAGTAATCAAACTTCATGGATTTTCGAGTTCTATAGTATCAAACCGAGACCGTGTATTCACAAGTCAATTCTGGAAGGAGCTCTTTGCCATGGCTAGGATCACTCTTAAATTCAGCTCTTCTTATCATCCGAAGACCGATGGACAAACGAAAGTGGTCAACAAGAGTTTAGAGACTTATCTACGATGCTTTGCTGGAAGCACTCCAAAGAAGGGGCCAAGATGTTGCGTGGGCTAAATATTGGTTCAATACCACCTATCACAGTGCGACTGAAATGACCCCTTTTAAAGCCCTCTATGGATGTGACCCCCCCACCTTACTCAAGTGGGCAGAGCAACCATCACGGGTTCAAGAAGTTAAGCAGCAGCTGCAAGAAAGGAATCAGGTGTTAGTTGAGCTCAAGAGCCAGCTAGAATGGGCACAGTCTCGAATGAAAAGCCAGGTTGATAAACATAGAAGGGAAGTGGAGTACCAAGTCGGTGAGTCCGTCTACTTGAAGCTCTTATAAATTCAGATCTCTAGCCAGAAAGATTAACGAGAAGCTGTCTCCAAGGTTCTATGGGCCCTATGTGATTGCTGAAAAAATTGGTAAGGTAGCATACAGGCTGGATCTACCCCCTACAGCTAGAATCCACAATGTGCTTTACGTCTCACAGCTCAAGAGAGCTCTGAAGGATTCGGTGACTCCCCAACCGTTGCCAAAAAAGGCCTTACGGAGGACATGGAGCTCAAAGTGGAACCTGAAATTGTCAAGGAAACACGCAAGAGCAGAGAAGGGAAACTACAGCTGCTCATTAAATGGAAAGATCTCCCCGAACACGAGAATACATGGGAAGACATTGATGACATTCGAACACAGTTCCCTAAATTCTACCTTGGGGACAAGGTGACTCTTGCAGAAGAGGGAAATGATGGGCCCAATAGGTATTGGGATAGGAAATACAAGTGAAGGACTCAGGGCCTCAAGCCCAACATTATTCAGGGTGAGCTGGGTGAGGAGGGCAAAACTGGGAATGCAAACGGTAAACAGGGGGTAACGAACTTCTGACAGTGTCAGGTAGTAGGAGGCGTTTAGAGGGGGAAGGGAGTGAGTGGCGAGGTAGACAATTTTGAGCGTTAGACAGGAGAGGGGGTCTGTTCTCTCGAACAACAAACCATAGAGAGTGTTCTTCTTCATTGATAGTTATTTCCAGTAATAGTTCCTAGTATCTAACCTATTTCATCATCTATTAGTGAGTGTATTCTCTCATTTTCAATCAGTAAAGAGGATACTCAGCATTGTTTATTAGTTCATTTAGTTTTGGTTTACTGGCTCTATCAGTAATCAATTATTAAAAGCAATCCAGAGGAAAACTCTAATTCTCTCTGCTCCTCTCCATTTCCAAATAGCCTAGTAGGTTGAGCTATAAAGGTTAGGAGGTGGTTTTTCAATCATATAATAAGTGCTTTTAGTAGTAAAGTTACCATGAGAATGAGCACACCAAGTCATCACGTCATGTCCAGCTTTAGGAATAGGAGGAAGAGTTGAGATGAGCTGTTGTATTACTTCTTTATTCACAATTTGAGCAAGACGTGTGTAACCCTAGCCACTGTACTTGAGAGCTCTTGCGGAGTTAGCTCTATGATGTATAAATCTTTAATTTTTTCTTTTTCATGGAAGAGTCAACAGTGGTTGAAAAAATTAGCAGATTGCCCATTACGTAATTGCCATCTTGTACCCTACTCAACAATCTCTTTTTGTTGACATCAATTTTCATAACTTAAAATCACCTTGCATCACATTCAATAGATTTTCATCACTTCTCATCACATATTTATGCTACAAAACTTGAGCCCACAAGCTATTAGAACCAACAACTAAATTCCACGCAAGCTTCACACCAAAAGCTTGATTCATTGAAGTTAGCTTTTTGAAACCAAGCCCTCTATAATTCTTTGGCTAGATCATTCTTTCCCAGCTCATAGGATGAAAACTGCAGTTGTTCTATATTGTTCCCCAAATAAAATTTCGTTGCAACCTCTCAACTTCATCACACACACTCACAGGTAGCTTGGCCACTTGTATAGGATACAAAGGAAGAGCGTATAAGACTGTTTTTGCTAGAGTAATTCTTCCAGCAGTAGATAAACAATCAGATTTCCAAGCTATTAATTTATTCTTGACTCTATTCACAATATATTGAAAGGTTTCTTTATTCCTTCTATTATCAGTAAGGGGAAAACTGAGGTACATTCCAATTTTAGAGGAGATCTTTATTCTTGTTATGTCCTTCAACTTCCTTTTCAAACTAGCAAGAACTTTTCAAGAAAAGAAAATAGTAGACTTAGCCTTGCTAACTTTTTCCCCAGAGGCAAAGCAAAAAATATCAAGGCACTTCATCATGCATTGAGCTTGAGTTTTAGTTACCTCTCCAAAGAGAAGCAAGTCATTGGCAAACATCAAGTGTGAAATGGTTGGGCCACCTCTAGAAACCCGAATTGGTCTCCATTTACCATTATTGACTACACCATTAATAATGTGGGATAGCCTATCCATACATAACACAAAAAGAAAAGGTGAGATAGGATCACCTTGTCAGAGACCCTTCTTTGGTACAAAGTACTCAGTATTAGAGCCAGTCCACAAAACATTATTAGTGGTAGAGACACAAAGCATAATAAGATTAATAAACTTATCATCTATTCCAACATCTACAAGCACTCGGTGCAAGAAACTCCAACTTATTCAATCATAAGCCTTTTCAAGATCTATTTTCAAAGCCATAAAACCTTTCTTGCCTTTAGCTTTGCGAATAGAGTGAAGAATTTCTTGTCCCACTAGAATATTATCCTATATGTGACATCCAAGAATGAAGCCAACTTGATAAGGGGAGATAATCTCATTCATGAGACTCTTCAATCTATGAGTGATGATCTAAGATATGCACTTATAATGGACTGAGCATAGAGAGATTGGCCTGAAATGCTCAATCAGCTGTGGGTTCTTTTAGGAATAAGAGAGATAAGAGTCTTGTTGGCATCTCACCGAAATCCCTCCTTTAAAGACTTGTTTAACAAACTTGCAAAGAGAAGGCCCGACCACTTTCCGGTTAGCTTGGAAAAAAATAGGTGAGAACCCATCAAATCCTGGTGCTTTATAAGGGGCCATTGAGAATTAAGCATCACGGATTTCATTTTCACAAGGAACAGCTCCCAACAACTTTGCACGATTAGCATCAATAGGAGAAAAATCGGATTCCGTCTGCAGCTTAGTAAGTTAACTTCCTCTAATTGAAAGAGCTTTTTGAAGAAATTAACTACCATTGTCTTTAAGCAATTCTCATCATTAACCCAATTTCCAAAATCATCTTGCAAAGATAAAACTCTATTTTTTCTTCTTCTAACTGGTGTTTTGATGTGATAATACCGACTATTCCTATCATCTCTATTACCCACTCAGTACGCGATTTTTGGAACCATTTTATCTCTTGAATTTAAGCACTTCATCAAGTTCATCTTGAAGATCAGATTCCAATCAGCAAAGAAAGCTAGAATGAGGATAAGCATTTGATTTCTGAATTCCATTTAATCTAGCTAGAAGCATTCTTTTCCTTTTTTCAACCATCTCAAAAACTTCTTTATTCCACACAATGGTGGCTTCACGGAAGCTATTCATATTGCAACTAAAATCTTTATTATCAGACCAACTTGTATTCAACAAATCAAAGAAAGTATCATGAGATAACCCCATAGATTCAAATCTGAATGGTTTGCTAACATTAGAAGCATTAATAAAACAATTCAAAATGAGCAGCACGGGGTTATGATCAGAGAAGCGAGATCTAGAGAGTACCTTGACGTGACAAATCAGTAAAGAGGTCAAGAACATTGAATTCACTAGAGCTCTATCTAATAGTTCATAAAGTCTCGAGCAACCCACCATTTGAGGTCCTTTCCAAGTATATTTAGGACCAATAGATCCCAAATCTGAAAGTCCGCAGTCATGAACTTGATCTCGGAACCATCTACTTCGCGCCATATTAGCACCTGTTCTACTAATTCATTCAGACATTCATAAAATATCATTGAAATCACCATAAACAGCCCAAGGCATAGAAATTTGAGAAGACATGGATATTAATTTATTCCTAAGAATTTGAGCAGAGCATAAATTGCAGTAAGCAAGAAAGGGGAAGCACCGGCTAAAGAACATTCTAGATGAAGCAATTGTCTATCTTCGTCTAAGATAGAGACTCTAACAGCATCTCCCATGCAGGCAGCAATGACACCACCTGATCTACCAATGCTGGGAATTACTTCTAGATTATCATGGCCAAGCAAACAAAGACAGTGAAAGCGAGGCCCCTCTGCACAATGTGTTTCAGTTAAGATAATTAACATGGGCTTGGGCCCTTGAAACATACTTTTATGATTTTCTGAAGAGGCCCTATCCCCAGGACCTCTTGTGTTCCAATCGAAAAAATTTTGTCCACAAAAAAATGGATTTAAAAAGATGGATACCCAATTATAACTCAGAGCCCATTTGGGTCTTAGGAACAACTGTGTCTTCACTTTGAGCACTTGATTTTATACCTTCTATAGATGGGCTTTAATCCCACGGCCCAAATCTGCAATCACATGCTAGTAACTTTTCTTTTTCCTTGTCTCCTGGGTCAATAGGTAAGGAGAGCAGTTTTGTGTTGGAGTTACCCCCATCCTGTGCCGCCATTTGAGCAGCCAAAATATTCTCTTCCCTATGTTTGAAAACCTCATGTTGTTGACAATCCTCACCTTCCCCCATTGTAATCATCAAAATATCATTGTTATTCCCCACGTCTATACCCGAATCATCTCGTGTCCTTTTCTCTACTCTTTTTGTACCAGGACGCTGTTGTACCTTCACTTGTAGTGCTCTATTTGCAACCTCGTTCTCCATTTTTTTTTTTTTTTTTGTCATTCTTAGCAGCAATGGTGCCTTTCTTCCCTTTTTCTGTATGAGACTTCATGGGGCGTGAGTTCTCAGTGTGTGCTGGTCGCATCACAACATCTCTGTCCTCCTCTGTAATCTCTTTTTCATTTTCTCTAGCCCCATTATTATCATCGTGATTATCCTCCTCATTATTCACAGTGTTAGAATTCCCCACCTGTTTCTCCTTCGTCTTCCTCTGTCTGTGAACTTTTTGCACTACGTTCCATTGGTCTTGAGCATTGATTACTTCCTTTATTCCCTGTTCAGTCTCCACTGGATTAGTAACATTAGCATTAGAAGCAGCTTTCTTCAATGGACAGGTTTCATTTCGATGACCATAAATGCCACAATTGGTACATAATAAATGCAAGCCTTCATATTCCAGATAATGTTCTTCACCATCAAGGTTAAAACCCTGCATAAATTGCTTTCCTAATTCAACCAAAACACAAATTCTAGCAAAATGACCTCTAAGCTGACATGAAGTATTCATATCCACTTTGAATGTTTTCCCAATTCGGTTACCAATAACAATCAGTGCTTCCTCATCATAATACTCAAGAGAAACTTTAGATAATCTAACGCAGACTGCAACTTTATCTATAGTGGCTGTCTCAGGTCTGAATTTTGGTTGCCAAGGTTGCACAGTCAAATAGTGATCATATATCATCCATAGTCCCCCTATTAATGCATTGGAATAATCCTCTGTTTGAGAGCTTGACCACAAAGAAGCCATGGCCAATGTTAATCAGATTGATGATTCCCCTCTTTGCCCACATGCTCTATAATCTTGATTCCAGAGCCTTCTAGCCGATGCTTCTCCCTAACAGCTTCACTATCACCACCTTACTCCATGCCCTGTAAAGGCGTTTTTTCATTTTGTTAGAAAACGTGAAGGTTGGGAAGTTTCTTTTTGGATCCTCTGTTGTCTTATACAGAGGTTCATCATTTTCTTGGTCTGTTCCCTGTGATTTCGATGACAAGGTGTCTTCTGAAATCGCATCTTCATTTTCTATTTCATCATCAGATTGTGTCTGGGCTCTGTTAATGCCTTTCAGTTTTGTCTGCAAATGAAGACCCCCCCCCCCCCGGTTTCTAAATCTTTGAATCCTAGCTTCTGCCAATGCCCATGAGAAAGTAGGTCATTGTCAATGGGTCCATTCGTGATCTTCTTCGAACTTCTAGCCAGCAGGTCTTCTTCCTCAATGGACGGAGGAGCTTAAGCGTTTTTTCCAGTGAGAGCGAGCGCCATTTAGATCTTTCTATATTTCTTTCTTCATCACCAACACGATAGTACATCTGAACAATGTATATAATGATCCAACTATTTAATGTCTTGGTTCCACAAAACTAATACCCACCACATTATATTTATATTTCTCCTCACTTCCCCATAAATTTACTGTAGGACGTCTAAATCATACTGGACACACAATCACAAGATTCATTTTTCACTAATGTCTACTTATTAGCATGGCCAAGCCAACCAATGCTAGTGCTTGTTTCGCAAACTCTCATGATCACTTCAAAAAAATATATATATTATATTTTAGAAGATAAATTTTTTCTCACATGCTTTTTTTTTTTTGTACAGCACAAAAAATCATCTAAAATAAGTATTTTCTTGTTACACTCAAGTATCCTCCTGTCAAAGATAATCTTATTTAAAGCATTATTAAACACTAAATGTGTGCATTACAAGCTAGGGCCTTAAGACATATCAGACTGATGCAAGTCAATACAATCCCCCGGGGGGGGGGGGCTCTGAAAAAAACGTGTCATCTATTTGAAAGTATGCACCATGTGCAGCTGCCATGTGTCGCGCCCCACTATTTGCAAGACTTTACATCGGGGAGTAGATGATGTGGACGTCCGGGTTGGCCGCTGGGAGCTTTTTTCTAACTGCCATTATCAAATCCACATAAGGATGGTCAGCACCTACAGGTTCCAGAAGCAAACTCAGCTTCAACGGAATCGCTGTAAATTTTTGCCTTGTTCTGCTTAGCAGGAGACCCATTTTTTCCACCTACTGCATAAAATGTTGCTCCTTGGATCGTCATTGTTTCTGGAAGCACGATGGGATCAATTCAAATATCTAACTTGGCAATTCAAAAGTTCTGAAGGTAAAGTCAAAAGCACAAAATATTCCTAACCCTAATGCCACATGCATCATACATATACACATATATCATCAACTAATATTCTTTTTCTGCGATTTTATGATTGTCGTTAGCTTCTGACAAAATAACATATTGAATTATATTGAGGAAAAAATAAACAAGTGATTGATTGTTTGAATTCCAACAAATTAAGAAGTAAAGGTTTGAACGCAACTAGTAGTATTCTGCATAATGTCCAGGCAGTGGAAGAGAAATTGTTTATGTTCATAATTTCCTCCCCGTTAAAGCTACCTGTACATGAAAAGCTTTAGGAATGGGTCATTTCTAATGCAGCAAAATACACAAAGTGGGCCCTAAATTATCTAACCCGGATATAGGAATAGATGTTTGAACCTCTATCTGACTATACACTCAGCACTACTATGCTACGTGTGTGTGTGTGTACACATACATATATTAAAACTTCCATGACAACCACACTTATCATGATTCCCATTCTAGCGAGATAGGTCTCAATGAGAATTTTGGCCCTTCTATAGCAATTTGTGAGCTTAATCAAATCAAGAGTGCTCTCTTTAAGCTTCTTCAACATCAAATTTCAAACAAACTAATGAAATTAAATAATCAGACTCTACAAAGAGAGGAGGACGAGCCAACTAACCTCATGCATAGAATTCTCCCAACTGAATAGCGATCAAATATAACCAACCAAGAGCATTTTTTATTAACCTTAACAAAATAATAATAGTTTCCAACTGGATTACAACAAAAGTGAATGATGATATCTTAGAAATTGAAAATTCTAGAGTTTAAATCTTCTTCAACTATGCTTACCTTGCTCTTGCCACTCTATTCATGGCAAAACGTAACAGAAAATTGCTGCAGAATGGACAGACATACCAAAAGGGATTAGATGTGAGGATTTCAAATGTTTCTCTTGCTCTCACTTATTGGTATTAGATGTTCAATATATGGAAATTCATTGATCTGCACAAATACGCATATATAATACATGCCAACTAATCTTACATGCTTGATATTCATTATTAAAAACCAAAAAAAAAAAAAAAAACATGTTAAGGAACTTGTGTTGCAGATTAGTTTTCCATGATTTTTCCAATACAAATTGTCTCTAAAAGCAAGAACAGTAGCCATAACAACAACAAATCCTATCTCATTAGGTCAAACACCATTTTGTTCTATCAACAAATGACAATATAGTTTATAGTTGAACTCTAGTCTTCCTTCAACTTCGTTCAGATTTCATAGAACATCAGTATGAATTGGTACTCAGCAACAACTGTCAATATGAGATGCATGACTCATTTTGTCCTTCCAACCTATAGGACAGTATCCTCTTGGATTAAACACATCAACGGGTCAGCAAAAGTAGGAGTTAACTTTATGTCCTCAAATGTTTCCTTATGAGATGTCTTCTATTCAATGCACGCACATCTCCTGGTACATTCCAAAACCTCAAAATAAAGGAGCAAAATAAGCATAGCCCTAATCATGAATCTAACAGCATAAAAGGAGCATGCAAATATGGCGACAAAGTTACCAAATTTCTGAATTTTAAACCAAACAAGGCAGCATTGTGAACAAGTTATTGGAACAAGAGAGGGAAGGAAGCATAATGAAAAAACTTTCGGCATATACCTAATATAAGCATCAGTCATCACATTCCTTGAACCAGCATCAGAGGTGAAATTGACTATGATTTCTAGACTTCTCATAAGCAGCTAACAAATTTTATAAAGCTACCAACCTTTTGTCAAGACGTCAAGCACTTGCAAAAAATTCAAGACATACTGTTCACAACTTACGAATAGTGACAACTCTTACAGATATATTGATTGACTATATATAAAATCATATATTTCTTTGGGTTTCTACTTGCACATCATCTTTCTCAAGTCGAAGAAGTATCATAATGCCCTCTCTCTGAGTGGGTAACAAAAATGGATCATTCTCTGCCATAATCCACAGGAAAAAGAAATGCATCAATAGCCTTGATCTTATCATGATATCCTAAGGATCTCATTTCTTATCGTCTTTGCATTGAGGTTCCCATAAGAATTCTGCAGTCTGAAGAGGTTTTACATGTCCTTTGAGAAACAAAGATCTTTTCCTTAAAAGATCTTCAAAACATAAACATTACCAATAGTCTCCACATGAACATGAACCACCTTTGAAGTGGTGAAACCGGTTTGAATCCCTAACAACAATGTATCTTTGTTCAACGAGTGATATTAACTTAATAAAATTATGACAATCTCCACAGACTCTCAGATTTTTCACAATTTGAATGGGAACTTCTGGAACCGTAGCTATTAACCCAAAAGCAATGGCCAACCTTTCACTATGTTGAGAAAGAATGGCTTCTTTGTGTTCATCCTCAACATCATGAAACACATAATTTGTATCAGGTTGATAACCTGCATCCTTCAATCGGACATTTAAATCAGCAAGCTTTGAGTAAATTTGATCTGACATAGGATGTGATGAATCACCAGCCAAGAATGAGTATGTCTTATTTTTTACCTCAATCCAGCTATACCCAGCTTCCTTTTTCACTCTTCTCTTGTCCATTAGCTTTCTCACATTGGATCTCTCCTGCCACTTTCCTGCTGCAGCATACATATTAGATAGCAGCACATATGCAGCTGAGTGTTGTGGTTGAAGTAACATGAGCTTTTCGGCTGCAAGTTTTCCAAGCTCCATGTTTCGATGTACTCGGCAAGCTGCTAAGAGAGTGCGCCACACAGTTGTGCAAGGGGAAAATGGCATTCCGTTTATAATATCCATGGCTTTACCCAACAATCCTGCCCGGCTGTATAGATCAATCATGCAAGAATAGTGCTCCATTGTGGGGTTAATGTGATGATCCTTGACCATCATATTAAAATAACGTTGACCTTCATCCACCAAGCCAGCATGGGTACAGGCAGAAATGACACCAATGAATGTTATAGCATCCACTTCCATGTTTTGATTTTGTAATTTCTCAAATACCTCTAAAGCTTTGTTTGCATGACCATGTTGTGCATATCCAGAGATCATTGAGTTCCATGAAACTAGGTCCCTCTCCCCCTGCCTCCTGAAAACTTCATGTGCGCTTTCAATATTGCCTCTCTTTGAATACATAGTAACAAGGGCACTACTTACACACAAAGCATTATTCAGCCTCATTTTAATGGCACAAGCATGGAATTGCTTCCCCTGTTCAACTGATGCCATTGAAGAAGCACAAGCATTGATGATGCTAGAAAAAGTAAACTCATTTGGTTTAATCCCCTCCCTTGACAGCTGGAGGAAGATTTTAGCAGCTTCTTCAGTTTCACCTGTTTGTGCATATCCCGCTATCATTGCTGACCAGGCTATTATGTCCTTTGCTTCAATAACCTCAAAAACTTTAAGAGCATCGTAAATATTTCCTCTCTTAACATAAGCATCTAAAAGTGCAGTTCCGACTGAAGATGATTTCTCATAGTTAGCTTTGATAACCTCTGCATGTATTTGGAAAATGGAAACAGCATTTTGTACTTTAAGGATGGTAGAGTATGTGAAATGATTTGGTTTGACACCCTCCCGCCTCATTTGGGAAAACAAATTCACAGCATTCTTAGTGTTACCATTCTGCAAGTACCCATTGATCATAGCAGTCCACAACACCACATTCTGACCCCCACTCATCAGGGACAAAAGATCATGAGCATAATCCATTTCCCTGCATTTGAAGTATGCATTCATCAGTGCAGTTAGGATACCTTGGTCATTTGAATACCCACTCTTCAAAGTCCTACAATGTAGTAGTCTTATGAAATCCAAATCTTTAAGATTGGTACATGACTTAATAATGCTAACAAATGTCATTTGCGTAGGCACAACCCCTGCAAATTGCATGTGATAGAAAATTTCCAAAGCTTGCAAATCATGTCCATTTGCCACTTGTCCTGAAATCATACTATTCCAAGAAACAGAATCCTTGCTCTCCATACTATTAAAAATAGCTCCAGCATCTCTTAACATGCCTGACTTTGAATACAAATTGACTAGAGAATTGCATACAGGTGTTATAGTCTCAAAACCATGCTTTACAACCATGGCATGGACTTGAATTCCAGCATCCACTGCCTTGTGGTTAGCCAAAGCTCCAATAATGGTAGAAATAGTATAATGGTTAGGCATATATCCCTCAACTCTCATCATACAGAATAGTTCCAATGCATCATCATTATATCCATTCCATGAATAACCTGAAAGCAATGAAGTCCATGATACCACATTTCTCTCCTCCATCTCGTCAAACACCCTCCTCCCATCTCTTACACATGCATTTTTCATATACATATCAACAAGAGCAGTTCCTACACTAACATCCTGCAAAAATCCAGACTTTATACATTGACAATGCACTTGCCTGCCCACTAGGCCATCAAAAGAACATGCACAAACTTTCAAAACATTAGACAAGATGGGCCCTTCAATGGGTAAACCAGAACGACAAAGACATACAAACAAATGGAGAGTTTCCCTGGCCTGCTCATTGCGAGAGTAATAGAAGAGCAATTGGTTATATTCTTTAAGGCCTCTAAGAGGTATTTGATCGAACAGTTGTTGTACATTCTGCGAAGAATCGTGCTCCACACTCCACGAGAACTGGGGATTGACAGTAGTCGCATACGATTGAAATAAAAGCCTAGTATGGTATTGAATATGGTTTCTTCCAGTTCTAAGTGTTGGGTTTATCAAAGTGTTTGTGAGTAGCCTCAGAGAGGGATACACTGTCATGTTACTGATTTTGAAGCCTTTGATTGAGTTTGGCCAAAAATAAAAAGCTTCTGAAGGAGCCTGTTCCATTACAAGAAACAACGTCATCATCCATTAAATAGTGGAAGGCAATTTGTAAAATTTCTTGTAAATCACGATTTTAAAAAAAAAAAAAAGTCTAAAAATTGCAGTTGCAGACAAAATCCAAAGAATTTCTATGAACATTGCTTGATGTTAATTTTTTATGACATAAAGTCTTATGATACATTTTTTTAAAATTTTAGAGAGAAGGCATAAATGGTCTGAAATAATATTGACCCAGGACCTCTCATTTGCCCCCCCCCCAAAAAAAAAAAAAGAAAAAGAAAAACTCTTACATCAGTAGATTGCAAAATCTACTCGCCCCATTGACTAAAGCTACCAGCACCAAATCTAAGATTCAATGGGTGAGAACCCCATTAAAGTCATTTTATGTTAGGGGCAAGAATTGTCACACCATCTACACTAATGCATGACCGGCACGAAGCATAAGGTGACCTCCCCTTGTAAGCCCTTTTAATTTGCTGTTTTCTATTTATAATGGACAAAATCTACTTCACTAATATAATATCAATTGATATTATAAATTCATCCATGAACTTTTGTATAAATATTCAGCATAGATCTCTTTACACAGTGAACTTCCCAAACATATTTGTAACCACCAACCATTTATTCTTTCATAATACGAGACACTTTTCTCTTAATATAATAAGGAAGCGAACATTATGTCTTAAACTTTAGTAGAGCAACTTTTATTTACAACTAAATAACAAGTCATCATAAAATCAACTTGACCATAGCAATTATTCTGATTATCCAGTAGGTACGTTGATTTTTGCCATCCGAAATACAAGTAACTTGGTAAGTAAATGAAGTTTCGTCACACAGCTTATTATTAAAATAATTTAAGAGCAATTAAATAAATATTGATCATAATTGGTTATCTCAAGATGAGAGTCATACCTCAACAATTCAAATCTATAAAATACTTGAGGTAAATATGAGTGAATGCATTTTTGTTGACAAAGATTTTAAAATATAAAAGAGATAAATGTTATCATTAATATATGCATAAAAATCCAAACTTGATATAATCATGCTTGAATTTAACAAAAACTAAAACTAAAAAAAAAATCATCAGTTCGACTTAAATAAAAATTCAATCAAAAACTTTTCAGTGATAAGAATATCAAGCGCAGCACAGAGGCTATGAATATCAAGTGTGGATGCACAATCCACAAGGGTAAGTAACCAATCAAATGTTCTGTGTCTAGTTGCCCTGATTAAAAAAATAAGTTCATAATCTTATCAGAAATCTTTTCTTTTTTTTTATGTTAATTGATGAAAATTTGTCTCCTATATAATACTCCTCCGATCCTAAATATAAGAAGCATTTTGTAATGTAATTTACAGTACAAAAAGGGTCTTATATTTAAAACTAGAGAAGTATATAAATAAATTTTATAAAACGTTCCAAAATCAAATTTCCAACTTCCTCACAAATGCATTAAATGTATCATATATTAATGAAAGAAATCAAATTTGGAATTCAATTGAAATGATCAGTTATTAACTGTACCGTAGCTCTATTTGTCCTTCAGGAACTTCAATCGACACAATAGGAACTCATTAACATTGCATATCACCTATACGAATACTTATGAAAATCAAGACTGTATGGTACCCAAACATTTATCAGCTTAAATCAACCTTTTGCTCTCATAAACAGCTCACAGGTATTAAAAAGTAATACATAGAACAACACACTACATAAATTATTTAAACAAATCCAACTTCTATAAATAACCATAGCACACACTTAATAAGAATAAATGTTTAAGTAATGTACTGGCGTGGTGTATTCTTTATTCACCCTTGCTGCCGAATTCTTTCATTATCAATGCCTAAAAGAAAAGATACCATCCCCTCTCTTTATACATGCTTCACAATTCCACTTAAGTTTCAACATAGCATTGAACAATCTTAACCGAACTAGTTTCCTCTTCTACACATTTTCCCAAACACCTTGTGTGTGCATTTGCATTTTTAAGGCATAAAGCGGCACCATAATTCATCAACTACCAACCATAAAAATTCAAGTATCCAAATGATTTCACAATGTTTCCTAATTTCAATTTCTTCACAAAATCTATTTCAGAATCCAAATAATTCAGAACCCAAAATCCAATTCATTCCTCTAACAACATTAACGCTATGTTTGGTACGGAATTTTTGGAGGGGAGGGAAGGAGAGTTGCTCTCCTCCCCTTGTTTGGTTGGTGTAATTTTTTAGGAAGGGAGGGGAGTCCCTCCCCTTCCCTCGTTTGGTTAAGATGTTTTTTAAAGAGGGGAGGGATTCTTCTCCCCTCCCCTTCCCTTCTAGCCTCCCCTCCAAAAGTGGGGTTTTTTGGAGGGGAGATGAGAGATAATATTTCAATTCCTTATATACCCTTTTGATTTGTTAACCTCTAATCAGTCGTAAACATTTCTACATAAGAGAGTTTTTTTGAGCATCTAACAAGAGGTTATTAAGATAATTGTCTCCAAAATTAGTGAGCATTTGTAAATTTTTTTTTCTCTTCTTCTAATTCCAAGAGGTTATTGGTATTTTCTTTCACCTTCAAGGTCTTTTCTCTGATTGAAATCTATCACTCGTGACTTTTTATCTTGATATTCTAAAAGTGTGTGACTATATCTTATAAATCAAAATTGGTGAATTGTATTATATATATAGTTATATCTTAACAAAATAAAAAAAGTGAGAAAATTCATTTAAATTTTATGAGGCTAAAATAGTCAATTTTTTATTAGAACAAAATAAGGTATTATTAAAATTACTCCCTCCCCTCCCCTCCAATCAATCCAAACCCCTCCAATCAATCCAAAACATCAAAAATCCCTCCTCTCCCTCCCCCTTCCCTTTCCTCCCCTCCCCTTTTCCTCCATCGAGCCAAACACAGCGTAAGCGAATAAGAAAGATTATGAAAATACCTATTCGAGTGTATCTTCTCCTTCCATGCGTCAACTAAATAAAACCCCAAATTCATCTCCTCTTTGAACGATCAGCCGCAGCCAAGAAAAGGAATTCAAGCCTCACCCAGGCCTCTCACGGTCATAGGGTAGAGAAAAGAGACCCAATCTGCTTCCATACTCACAGCACAATGGGAAACGCATAGACGCGGCAAAAGGAAAGAAAGAAGCTTTTTGAGTTCGCGCCTTCAACACAACCCACAGCCACTAGATTCTTAACCCCTCACGGTCACAGGAGAACAAAGGAAAACAGAAGATTGGGTGAGTAGAACAAAGTCTGGCCCTCCCCATTGGAGTTCGCGCGTGCCCGCGCGCCCACTGACGAAGAAAGAAGAAGCAAGACGAAGGAGGAGGATCGAACAAGCCTCCCAGAAAAAAAAAATCCCTCCCGCTCCTCTGCTCACGGATGGAAAGGAGGAAAAATTTAGAAGTCCCCGGTTCTAATTCCAGGGTCATTACAAGAATATATTTGAATATTGGGAAAATCACAATAAAAAAATTACAAATTAAGACCCATAACAATATTAGTATGGGTTTTAACAAAAAAATTTATGCAATTTTTCTAATTTCACAATCTTTTTTTTGTGATTTTTCCTTAAACATTTTTTCCGACAAGTAAAATTATTAATCTCTTTACATTAGTCAAATATAAGAAATTTCACAACTTTTTAAAAATTATTTAGATTTAGATTTAATTAAATTCACTATTTAAAGTAAGATAAAAAAGACAAGAACAATAAGCGATAAATAGGTTATTGAATTTTGTAGGAATCACTATGTAAATTCTTAAGAATAGCATCTGAAAGAAAAGAATTAAATCATATTTTTAGTCTTTTAATTTTAAATGAGGTTTTAATTTAATTCTTTAACTTTAAAAAATACATTTTTAACCTTTTAACCCTAAAATTATGAATAAAGATGATGATATTAAAATTTTGAATGTGATAAAATACTTTCAAATCTTAAAATATTAATTTAATTTTCAAAACAACCATCATTATTACAAAAAAATTATCATTTAATATTATTAGTTTTATGGTTAAAATACTTTTTAAAATTAAGGACGAAACTGAAACTACGTATAAAGTTAAAGAAATCAAATATATGCTAAAAAAATTGTTAGGCAAAATTATAGAAAACATTTAACACATTTTTTTGTCATTTTCCCAATTTGTTATGCCATGAGTAAACATTTTCCTTTTGATTGAACTTCAAAAAGAAAAAAAAAAAAAAGAACAAATGCGTTTGTTTATCACAATGTTGTATTTTTAGTTATATCGTAGCTCATTCAATGTTTCAGCGTTTAATGACTTAACATATTCATTTGTTTAGTTAAATATTGGTAGCTAATTCATGGTTCAATGTTTAACAACTCTTTAATAATTACGGCAAAAAAATAGTTCTCTTAATATTTTTTTTATAAATTAACTTTGAATACAAATGTAAAAATACTCATAAACTTATACCAACAGTAAAATATGCACCGACCGTTGTAATCTTTTTGGAATTGCAAAAGTAACCATAAACTTTCAAAATAAAAAGTATCATCACAATTAATCGCTACCACATTGGCCATTAGTTTGACTAAAACGCTGACATGGAAAAAATAACAATAAAAGAAAAAGAAATTGCACTAAGGTCTCATGAAAAGAAAAATACTGCAAAAAGGTTTCTAAAAATCTTGTATTTGCTGAGGAGTCCCAAAGAGATTTGATAGCAATTTAGTGAAACCTGAAAGAGCTTTTTTGCCCCTAGTAATATAGACAGAAAAGGCACTAAAAAGATAGAGGGAGAAGCGATTTTCGACACGTTTTGAAGCTCTCGCATGAGAAAGAAGAGAAAAAAGCTAAGAGCATCTACCATTAGTGAAGTCCAAAGACCTCTCATCTGAATTATCTCTAGCAATTTCAAGGTTTAAATCTTTGTTTCCTCTCCATACCTCTCCTGCAAAATTTTTAGTTGATAGATTGTGTTTGGGTATGAGCATATAAAAATCATTCTTACCTTCAACTTTAAAGCTTTTATTTTTGGTCTAACGTGAACAAGTTAAGCAATGGAAAGCTTCAGTTTTTAGTTTAGTGCATGTTGGTGATTTAAGTGGGGGTTTCATTATAGGGGGTAGGATGATGACGAGTAATCTGTTTTTAGGTATATTATAAGTGGTTTTGCTCCTTTTCATCATGGTTTAGTGGAAAAGGATAAAAAAGATGAAAGTTGGTGTAAGTAAAAACTCTTACTATAAAATGAGATATTGTGTTGTCAATATAAGCCATGATAGTTGTCAATATAGGCAAGTTATGATAGTTGTTAATACAGGTTGTGATAGTTGTCAATATTGTTGTTTCACTTTTTAAAGAGAATTGTATAATGCAAGTTTATATTAAAGATGAGAAGCATGTTTGGGAAGCATTTATTTTGTTATTTTCGTTTAGGAAAAAATTTATAAATAATGGAGAAGATGATATGCGATATTTTGGGGTAGTATAAGAACAAGAAACATAAAGGAGGCACAAATTATGAAGAATTGACGAAAATTATATCATCAATTTTTGGAGAAAAAACATAACTCCTTTGTTTTGAAATTCTCAATTGTGTTTGATAAAAATACATTTGTGGAGTTGGTACATGATAATGGGGTAGAGTATTTAATAAAGTTCAATAAAAAAAGTCATCATGTGTATGTAGAAAAGAATAAAAATAATGGCCATATGGAAGCAACAAGGAATAATGCAATAGAGGAGTAAGATGTGTAAGTTTAGTTTGAACTAATTTTTAGTATTGTCATCTATTGGTATGTAAATTTTTATTGAAGTCCTACTCAATTGTCAATTTAGGCACCTTAACTTGTCATTTACTACAAGATTGATCAATATTTTGAGGATGTAGATAGATTGTGTTTGTCTCCACTAACCCTGTTTAACAAGACTAGCGAGCCACCATCAATTCCATATGTTGTTGTTGAAATTATTATGACACAGATATCAAATGAATGCTTCCAAATGGAAGGATTTGGTGTTATTAGAGAAGAACAAATATTTTTAAATGCCACCACCCTCCTAGAAATATTATACAAATACTATATATCGCAAAAGTTTTAACACAAATTTGTGAAGAACAATCAACAAAAGATAATTGTAAAGGGAATGTTTAGTAAATGGGTGTAAAAAGAATTTTTTGGTAAATGGATACACACCAACAGTTAGTTTAGTAATTATATGTACCTATATATTGTGAAATTAGTGTAATTACATGTATATAAGGTTATGAATAAAAGTTAGCTATAAAGTGATATGCTAGATTCTGTTGTTATTTTAGTTGTAATTGTTTGTACCTTTGTTGTCAATACACCTTTCATCACTTGTCACTCGTTGTACTATGACTTGTCAATTTATCTGTTGATAAAATTTTTTGAAAAATGTTATTTCAAGTTACGTAGTAGATTACAACATGATATAAATTATTATTAAAAGTTAATTATTATTTATATCAAGTTATTAAATCACTTGTCATTAAATAAACTATAACTTGTGAATGGTGCTAGTGTCACTTGTCAACGGTTTCACTGTCACTTGTCAATATATTTGTTCATATAAGTTTAAAAAAAGTGATTTTAAGTTATATAATGTCATATAATATTGATATATCCTCTAGAATATTACTTTTTGTTTGTTAGTTTAAAAGTTTAATTAAGAGTTACATATTTTATTACAGTAATTGAATATTTCATTTAATTACAATTTCATTATGATGATATCATATAACATTCTAAATATAAATATAGATATAACATAATAAAAATAAAAATATAACAAAACCTAAATAATATTAAACATGTAACATGTGTAACAATATTATAAATATGATTAGATTAGTTTGTTATAAAATGAGTTGTCAACTATTAACCTATAACTAGTCACTTCTAACATCCTCAATTGTCAATCATCTAAGTGCAAATATTAGGCCTAATTGAACAAAAAATTAAATGAGTTGTCAATCTCCTCTTCTTTTCTTGTGAAAGTTTGATAGCATTGACATCATTTTGAGCTTATATTCATTATTTCGATGTGTAGCCAGCTACCATAAGCAGCCAACTTTCAACCTTGTAGTTCATTGTCAGAATATCATGGTATTGTATATCCTGCACCATCACAAACAGTGCGATCCCACTCTCGTAGCTAAGAGAGGACATGAACTCCACAAGAATCACTGAAAAAAAAATTAATGGGTAAGGACCATGCAATTCTTACAGTAAACCACAATAAACAACATAACCCAATCTAGCAACTAAACTCACGTATTATTCTGCATTTTCTCATTCAATTGACTTGTGTTTCTCTAAGTTCTTCTTGTAAATTACCTCAGTGAACAATGCAAAACCAAAAAAAAAAAAAAAAAACTTCTCTGTCCACTTTTATTGTTACCATTATTTCCCATCTTCTTGATGTGACAAAACATCCAATATCATCAAATTATCAAAGTGATACCAATGAATCATATATTAGTTCGACATAAAATCACACATAGAGAAAAAATTTCCATTTTTTAAAGTCACACCAAGAAAAATGAATTACCAACTAAACATTAATAGAACTTTAACATATAATTATCTTGTTGTGATATAATTATATGATAGTAAAAAGCTTAAGACATTGTCTTGAACAATAAAAAATTAATAGTGAAAAAGATTCTGCATGATGATAAAATTGAAGATGCTGTTAAATGTCACATGCAATTTCAGACCAGCATTTTCCAACAATTATGAAAATGATATTATCTATTTTTTCTCAATAAAATAAAAATTGCACATTAGAAAATAAAATTATAGGTAACAAACCTAGATAACATGACTCAGACATATGATTCAAGTATATAGATTAATGCAACCTATATAGATGCAAACAAGGAAGGCAATGAGAATTAAATCTTTGCTGGGAGGAGGAAATAAAAACAATATAACGTACAAAGTTTTATAATAATTGATGAATTACTAACTCATTATTTATGTTCATTATTTGTATGGCAATTGGAGCAAGTACTTGGGCATATGTCAATAAAAAAATCCCAAATGAAAATACAAAATCACCTGAAACAAAGCTATGCTATAGTAATCGACAAGAAGAAAAGGTAAAATCATGCCAGAAATTAGACAACGACTAGCACCTTCAATGATGGTGAAACTTGGGACTAAGTTCAATTGATGCAAGTGAGTGCAAAGAAACAAGTTGAAACTTTTGTTTCATGAGTGGTTAGGAACACAACGATTGATGCAAGAAGAAGATTAAGACGTGTATTTTACTTGTGAGTGGCCAAGATTTTAGGTCAGGGAAGGAGAAGAACAAGGCGTATAT